TTTTTTTTTTTTTTTAAATTTTGAGACAGGGTCTCATTCACTACTCGTCTAGGCTGGCTTTGAACTTACTATATAGCCCATTCTAGCCTCAAGCTCTCGGAGTTCCTCCTGCCTCTGCCTCCTGAGTGCTGGGATTAGATTATAAGCATGCACCTCCATGCCATTTCCTTGGTTTATTCTTGATGGGCCCTGTCCTCTTTCTTCATATAGGCTACTGGAGTAACCTATCTGAAACGTATTCCTTAGATTTCTGTATTTATTGCATTGTATTCAATCATTTGCTTATCCCAAGACTGTAGATGACAGCAGGCTTCGAACTCCTTGAGGGAAAAGAACTATTCATTAGAACACTGACTTGGGCAGGGCTGCTTTTCACCTCGTTCTCAGCTGCTCTAATCCAACTGGTTCCTCAATCGAAGGACACCTGCAGTAGGTATAGGGCTCACTTCGTAAAGTTGCAACAAACCATTTCTTTTTTTCCCCGTTGCTCCTCTCCAACTCCAGTTTGGGCAGGCAAATACCCTGGAAGCCCCTTGGGAGCTTTCTCTACCATTGTGCGCCAGTAATGAGTGCTACTTTACTCCAGTGAATGAAGGTGTCCTTTGCTATTGGGCGTCTTTCCCCCAGTTCGAAAGTAGGCGGGGGTGGGAGAGCAGAGCTTTAGAGCCCCTTGAAAAAAGGCGAGGCCGCAGCAGCCCCAAGCCCGAGAGCCGGCAGCGCAGCCGAGCTAGGATTTCCCATGGTCCCGCCTCCTCCGCGAAGCCCGGCCTACTTTAGGGCGGGCCCTCCCTCTTCGGCCAATTCTGGAAGCGGAACCCTGGCGGTTTGTACTCTTTCTTTCCAATGAGAAAAAAAGGAAGCAGCCTGGCCCTGATGACCAATCCGAGGAGGTGGCGCCTGGTTGTCAGGCAGGTTTGCAAGAGTTCGGGCCAATGGGCGGCGCCGGCGGCGCTCGACCCGGGCGCAGCGCGCAGGCGGCGGCGGAGGGACGCCGAGCGGGCCGAGGGCGGCCGAGCAAAGCCGGAGCCGGAGCGGGGCCGCGGGAGCCGGGCCGGGTCCGGACGGGCCGAGATGCCCTATAAACTGAAGAAGGAAAAGGTGAGCGTGGCGCTTTCCCCCCGCGCCCCCGCCTCGGGGCCTGCTCGGAGCCCTGGGAGGGGCCCGAGCCAGGCCCGGGACAGCCCCAGGCTGACCCTCCCGTACGGCCCCGCGGGACTCCCGGGCCGGCCCTGCACCCAGCGGCTGGCAGCACCTGGCTTGTGCCGTAGCCGGGACAGCCCCCGGCCCTGCCCCGACGGGTCCCTCACCTGAACCTCGCTCCTTCCTTGCTCTCCTCCTGCGCTGGCCCCCGCAACCTCCCTCCATTTCTGCCCCACTCTCGGTCCCTCCCCTGCGTTTCTCCCCGCCTCCCCGGGCCCCCGATCCCCCGCGGTTTGGGACAGCCTTCCTCAGAAACTGCCTCCCCTTTCAGCACTGCCTCCTCCCCCGCCCCGCGCAGCCCCTGCCCACCCCTTCCCCCCGGCCTAGGACGGCCTCTCCACACTTTCCCTAGCGTGTCCTCCGTTCGCGCGGAGCCCCCTGACCTGAAACTGTGTTGCTTTCTCAGTCCCTCCACCCAAATCTGGCCTAGGCCCCTGCCTCTAGTTCTTCCTTCACACACAAACTTGTAAACCCGGACTGCCCCTGTGCTTCTGTGATGGAACCTCGGAATGTCAGTGCTAGAAGTCATCTTTGAGCACATTCCGGGCAGCCCCTGGCGGTACAGATGAGGAGACTGAGGCCTCACCCGGGGCAGGGACTTGTCCAAGGTCACACAGCCTGTTGGAGGCCCAGCTGCAGTGTCAGGTGTCCTGACTTGAAGGACTCTTCTGTACTAAAGCCCTCCTAACTGGCACCAACTGGCTCCCAGACTCATCCTAGCCGAGACACCGCTCCTTCTCTGAGCAGGCACCTCCCTTACTCCTAATCCCAGGATATTCTGTATTTTTCCTTTTTAGCACCAGTGCAGGATTTTCCCTTTTCTCCCCAGCTACACTATCCTCGAATCAGAAATTTGTACTTTCTGTCATGTTAGTTTATCTTCTGACCCCTCAGGCTAGCCATCCCTGGACCTCTGTGCTATTGCTATTAAGATGGCAGAGTTGGGGATTGAACCTCTGTCTTTGTGCATGCTGAGCCTGCATTCTATCCCTGATCCATCCTTGCAGCTCCACAGTCATTTCTTGCTGTCGCCTTCTTTCACTGTCCTTTTCTCCCTCCAGATTGCCTTCCTCTGTTTCTCCTCCCTGCCTTTTTCTACCCTGTGTTTCCTGCTGTTGCTGAGGTCTGACTCAGAGGTGTGGTTCCTTTGAGGTATGGACTCACAGAGGATGCTAGGATACCAGTTCCCGCTTCCCCCAGCTTCTCTCCCGAGGCTGGCCCCTCTTGGTGGGTCTGGCTATGGCCTGGATTGTGGCTACCCTCCTGATGACCCTAGCGGTGTATGGATTTCATTTGTCCTCTGCTTTGCCAATGGGCTAATTAATGATCTTCTGGGCTGGCATCTCTGACTTTATTAAATTATTTCTTCTGATTTGTTGAATATTTGCTAGGCTACTGAGATTCTAGGTTATCCCTATCACTTTTCAAGGCCTGGGACTCTTCTTTTTTTCTTTAAGGCTGAGTTTTGCTGTCTATTTCAGGGTAAGCTTGAACTCACTGTGTCACTCAAGCTGACTTCCAGCAATAGGTGATCTTCTTGCCTCAGCCTCCTGAGTGCTGGGATTACAGGTGTGTGCCACCACACCTGGCAGGGCCTGAAATTCTGAGAACAGGGTTGGTAATGGTATAGTAGACTCTGACTCCCACCCACCCCCGCCCCAGGTGGTGAGTTGGACAGGGTTGTGTGTGCCATCCAGGCCTTGTCCTTGGAGATTGGGTATACCAAGGTGGTTTGGGCAATTTAGCTGTAGACAGTGTCACACAAGTCAGCTATACCAGGAGCTAAGGGGCATGGAACTGAGGGGAAGTGATGAGGTCCCCAGCCCTGTGTGGTTTTTAGTCTGATAGACCTGATACTGCCCCATGAACAGAAAGCCTTCGCCCCCTGGATGGTTGAGAGGAAGGGAATTGGTTAGACTTGCTGGGGCTGTGAGTGTATTTAGCTGAGAACAGGTATTGAGAGAATAGGGCTGTGTGGAGCCAGGCATAACTTTTACCGTGTGTGAGATTTAACTGCATGTATTTGATTTTGCCTGCAATTGCCCTCCCTCAATAGTTAGGAGGTTCTGAGGAGGAACAGAGTGGCAGTGTGGCTGAGATTGGCCTGGATGGGGTGGGGACACGCATCATGGTGCATGAGAGGAGGATCGCTCTCACTCATCCATCACCTGTCTTCCCTTCGCTTTCATCTCTGCCGATTTCAATTCCTACTGTACTTCACTGTCTCCTCCCTAAAGCTTTTCAGAGCTCTTCCTCTCCTAGCTGCGTAGAAACCTTGGTAGGTCAGTTGTGACCCTTTGTGTTCAGCTTGCCATGGAATGAATTGTGGTCAGGTCTCATCTTTCCCTTTTGAGATCATCACTAAGTTCCAAGTTGCTTTGGATCTCCCTTGCACACAGTAGCAGAGCCAACTTTGGGGGGGGATTTACATCCTGAGACTTCTGTCTTTTATGTTTCTGGAGGAAGCACCCCTGGTCCCTGCCATTTTCTTGTTCCAAATAATAATATTGACTGACAGTAGGATTTTCATGTGGCAGTCACTGTACGAAGGAATGACTGTCATTGTTTTATGGATGAGGAAACTGAGGCTTAGAGACACTGTGGTTGCTTACAGTGACATGAGCATAGCTAGTCAGAGTTGAGCCCAAATTCAGGCTGGCTCCATATTGCTCTTCAACTTCAGTGTCACTCAGCACTTGACAGCTGGGCTGGGCACAGTGCGTGCATGTCACCTGTTCTGCAGGAGCCAGCGCAAAGCTGAGGCCTTGCTCCCCACGCACACCCACGCCCCACGGCAGCTGGGTCTCTGAGGCCCATCTCCTGAGAGATGTCTCGGCATTGTGCCGAGTGCCACAAGGTGGGCGGAGGGGTATAAGAAAGAATAAGGACCCTAGCATCAAGAAGTGTGATTGGTGAGGCAGGATCAGTGCTGTGAGTTCAAGGCCAGCCTGGGCTACAAATGAATTTAAGGCCAGCCTGAACTGCAGAGCAAGACCCTGTCTCCAAAAAAAAGTATGATTGGACTTTCAGATGAAAAGTCAGCTGTGTCTGGGGTGTGGCACACACTCACCTCAGGTTGTGACCTCCCCACACCCCCATCCTTTCTCTGCCAGTCCTATACTGTGTCTGACTTCAGAGTCAGCCTGGCCACCCTGGGCAGTGGGCATGGGAATGCCCTGCAGGAAGGAGGAGCGCCTTCTCCCTGTGCCAGTGAATGCATTAGGCTGCTCCACATCCAGCAGTGGCTTTTTCCTCCCCACCCCCAGAAGCCTCCCCTACTCCAGCCCACACAGAGCTCTCTTCTCCCTGAAATCCTTTTGCCCCTATAGTCACAATCACTTGATTTAACACTTCTCACTGAAGGGGCTTGGCTGCTGTTGAATTGCAGACTCTCGGAGCTGGGACTGATTTCCAGGCTCCTCCAATCCAGTGTGCATTTGAGGCTTGAATCTCTTTTGCAGCAGGCCTTACAGGAGGTCACCCAGCCTTTGCTTGAATGCTCTCAGGAGTTTCCATGCAACCGTGCCGTGAGAAAATTCAGCCTGGGTTGGGGCCCCAGCCTGTCCTCCTGCACCTTCATCCCACGGCACTGTGCCCTTGGGTCTGTGTGGACAAGCTGCATCTTTAGTATACATGGCAGCCCAGCCCTGAGTTGGCTGGTTGAGCTCTGTCTTGCTCTCCACCTGCCAGGATGCCTCCATTCCATTGTGAACTCTTACAGTTCCTGCAGCTGTTGTGCTAGGCCCTGCTTTTATATGAACTCCCAGTGCATTGCATTTTCCCTTAAGAAAAACTAGGATTTCTCATTGGCCCTCCCAAAGTCTGAAGCCCATGGCTGACCTGAATCCTCCAGGCTGGCCTTGGCGTTCCAAGTACCCTGCACGGGCCTATTGAGTGGAAGGCGCTTTGGGGTGCAGTGGCCCATGCCACACGGGTGATTGGTATTGAGTCAAACTTAAACCTCCAAGACTTTTTCACATTTCCCCATGCTGTCCCTTTGCGGCTGCTTTTTTTTTTTTTTTTTTTTTGGCTATTTGGGATTGAACTCAAGACTGCGGCGTGACTGGAGTTCAGACGTGTGCTCTTCCAGTCCACCTGTCCTTGAAATTTTAGCCTCACAGCTTTTCTGAGGAAAAATTTTTTTTTTTTTTTTTTTTTTTTTTTTTTGGCCTGAAGCATAGGAAGAGATGCTAGCGCGCCAGGGCTCTGAGCCAGCTGCCAGATTCCCAGGGGAAACTTAGGAACTAGTGCTCATTCTTTGTAGCAGTTCAGGATTTTATTCCATTCCTGTCCAGTGCTTGTCATCTTAGGTGCTTATGGCATTTTGGATGTTACACTTCCTGTAACTTTGACATCTCTGGGCTCTTTTTAAAAAAATGAAATACTGGGGATTAAACCCAGGCCCTTAGCATTGTGCTACATCTCCAGCCCTTTAAAAAAAAATCTCAAAGGGCCAGCAAAATAGCTCAGCAGACTAAACGCCTGCTTAGGCAAGGGCAGGGACCAGGGTTCAATTCCTGGCACCATGTGCCATGCCAGCCCTGCTCCCAGGCATGCTGAGCCAGGCTACTGAGTCTGGGCATGATGGTGCACATCTGTAATCCCAGCCCCAGGGAGACTGAAAACAGGAGGATCACTAAGAAGCTGCATAGTGAAATCCTGTACCAAAGACCAAAAAAATAAATAAATAAATAAATAAATAAAATCTCAAAACACAGCTTTGCTGTCACTGAGTTGCTGTATTTGAATTTGTAGTCTTCCTGTCTCAGCCTCCTAGAGTTTTGGGATTATAGGCTTGGCCAATAGCACTTCCTTCTCTGGGTGTTATTTCCTTCTGGTTCCAGCTGCATGAGGGCATCCCAGGCCCAGTCTAACCCATCCACAGCCTGGGGAAGTGACAGATAAAGAGCACTGTGCTTAACTACTGTGTGCTAGGAATGACTTTCTAAGTTTTCTAAGTAAATTCTATAAAGTGTGTGCTGAATTCTGTCTCCTTCTGTGTGTGCCCACACCCAGGGCTGGACACAAGGTAGGTTTTACCTGGTGAAGTGGACAGGTGATTGTTGCAACCAAGATAGAGGAGGCCCAGCAAAGGCCTGCACTTAACCTGACTCCATCTTCTCCCAGCAGGAGCCCCCCAAGCTTGCCAAAGGCACAGCCAAGCCCAGCAGCTCGGGCAAGGATGGTGGAGGCGAGAATGCTGAGGAGGTAACTACTGAGATGCAGCCCAAGAGTGTGCATGTGCTAGCTTCGACTCCTTGATGGTTGGTGGGGCAGGGGCCCTCGGGTAGTCACCCAGGCAGCAGAGGAGGAGGCTGCCAACATCTGCAAGGGACCTGGACAGCCTGTCTGCACTCCCCTCAGGCAGGATGTCATTCTGGTTGATGTAGACCAGACAGGCTCTTGAGTTTCTTCAGACCCCAAATCTTGGGAAATTAATTTTTTATTCACCAACTTTTTCAGTCCTGGGGACTGAACGCAGGACTTGGCACTGAGCTGTGTCCTAGTACACTCTCCCCTTTTACTGAGATAGGTTCTCTACGTCACTAAATTCTGCAGGGTTGGGCTTGAACGTGTATCTCACAATTTCTGCCTCAGCTACCCAGAGTGCCAGATTTATAGGGACATATCACCACATCTGGCTTCTGCCAACTTTTGAGTATTGAGGATTTTTTTCAGAGGCTGGTGGGGGTATGATTCAGTGGTAGATCATATACTCCCATGAGTGAGGCCTTGGATTTGGGCTCTAACATAACAAAACACTTTTTTTAGGGCACAACTTTCTTTCTTTCTTTCTTTCTTTCTTTCTTTCTTTTTTTTTTAACTGTCTGTCTGTCTTTCTTTCTTTCTTGGACAGGGTCTCACTATACAGTTCAGGTTGGCCTTGTGCTCACTTTGTATCCTGAGCTGGTCTCAAATTTACAGTGATTCTCATGACTGAGCCTCCCAAGTGCTGGGATTACAGGCATACACCACCATGCCCAGTCTATTTTAAACATTTATTTATTTAGTGTGTGTGTGTGTGTGTGTGTGTGGCCAGCTCAGCCCACCAGGGGGCGGGGCTGACTGGCATGTGGTGCTGGGGAATTGAACCGCGGTCCCTGTGCTTTGCCAAACTTGTTCCAAGTAGGTGCTTTAGACCACTGAGCCATCTCACCAGTCCCACCCAGTCTATTTTATTTTGAGATGGTCTCTAAGCTGCTCTTGAAGTTACCATGTAGCCCAGACTTGTCTTGAACTCACTATGTTCCTTCTGCCTCTGCCTCTCAAGTACTTGGATTATAAGCCTGCACCACCACACCCAGCTGAGCATTCTTTTGTCTTGAGACAAAAAGCTGGGAGGTCTGGGATCCTGGGGAGATGGGGAGAATTCTACGGGTGCTTGATGGGACGATGAATGCCTTTGGCTCGACTTCGGGTATGCCGGGTGCCGGGAGAAGCTGGCGTCCCTGAGTGGGCCAGCCTGGCCCCATAGCCCTTGGTCGCAGCGGAACGGCCTCATGACTTAGTTGACAGTACTGAGCAGAGGTCAGTGCAGCTCAGCAGTCTGGGGCTGTAAAACAATAAACAGCAGGAGAGAGTGCAGGAGAGAGTGGAGGGTCTTGGGGACCTCGTGGTTGTACTTGGTGGGATGTCTGGGTGGCAGGTGCTCGTGAGTGTGTGAGTGGCAGCCCTACTGTGTGAAGCTGCCGGTCATGCCTTCCACTTTCTGCCCCTGCTCTGCACTGCTCTGAGGAACAGGGATATCAGAGCTCAGGCTTGGGGAGAAAAGGCTGATAAACAGTGTTCGAGGTTTTCCTGGCTACTTTTGGTCCCTGTCACCTTGAAAGAGATCTAAGCCCCTTTCACACTGGTGACCATTGTTTGAGGCCTCACTTAAGTCAACAGCGGAAGCAGGGTAAGCTCCGCCTGTTTTACAAGTGTGGAAGTTGAAGAGCACATAGGAGAAATTACTCCTTCTGCTGTGCTTATATAGTGGTCAGACTGTGTCCTGAGATTTGTGTTGTCGCTGTTCCTCCGGCTTTCAGACACATCTGCTCAGGGAAGCATCCTGTTTGAAGCCCCTTGGGCTCTGGAAAAGTGCTCAGGGCTCATCCATAGAGGGTATCTGTGAGGATTCTCCTCTGCAGTCTTCCCAGAACGGCACCATGCGGGAGAGGCCCTGGTTTCCAGTGGTATCAGTGCAGGCCTTGCCCTGCCCACTTCCTAGTCCACAATTTCAGGCTCTTCTGGTCTAATTCACTATGTGTCGTGTATTTGCCAGAGCCTTTCTAACAGATTTTTTTTTGCGGAACCAAGGATTGAACTCAGGCCCTTGTGCTTGCCAGGCAAGCGTTTGTTCTACTGAGCCATCTCCCCAGCCCCTAACAGATTCTAATAATTATAGGAGCTAACATTTATTTTATTGAGCAGTTATTTTATGTTGGTTTCCTAAGGTTGCCATAACAAATTAACTTAAAACAAAAGCTCACAGGATTAATGGTGCAAGTCTGTAATCCCAGCATTCTGGGAGGCTGAGGCAAGATGATCACAAATTCATGCCAAGTCTGGGCAATTTATTGATTGAGGGAGACCCTTTCTCAAAATAAATGATAAGAAATGGGCTGGGGTTCAATCCCAGGTGCTGCAAAAAGGAAGGGAGGAAGGGATGGGAGAAGAGGGAGGGAAGGAAGGAGGGGAAGAAGGAAGGAGAGAGAAGAAACAGATCTGGAGATCTGAGGTCAGGTGGCAGTGGGGTCCTGTCCTTCTGAGGCTCTTGGGCAGAATTTTTCCCATGTTTGTCCTCTATCCTTGGCTTGTAGTCGTGTCATTTCAGGTTGCGCCTCTGTCTCCCCAGGGCATTCTCTCCTGTGACTCTGTGTCCAAATTTCCCTCTTATAAGGACACTAGTCATTAAGGACACCCTAATCCAGTGTGACCTCATTTTAACTTGATTACATTTGCAAAGACCCTGTTTCCAAATAAGGTCACAGTCATGATTTTGGGTGGAGAGGCCCTAGGGGACACTGCACCCCAGCACTAGGCACAGTACTAAGTAGCGGGTGTGTGGTGTCTCTTTCAGCGTCACCCGTTCCTGCTGTCTGTCCCCGCTTCACAGCTGAACCAAGGCTTAGAGACGTTTAATAACTGTTACTTCAGAGTAAATAGCAGGTCTGTGGCTGGGATGGAAAAAAAAGATAAGAAAGAGGCAGGTCACAGTCTTACCTGCTCTCTCAAGGCCCCTTTCTCTTCTGGAATCTTTTTTTTTGGGGGGTGCAAGAGTGAGACAGGGTCTCCCTATGCAGCTCAGGCTGGCCTTGCACTTGCTGTGTAACCCAGGCTGGCCTCTTAACTTGCAGTAGTCCTCCTAGATCAGCCTCCTGAGTGCTGGGATTACACCACAGCAGGCTTCCTGCTCTATCTAGAGAAAAAAAAAAATCAGTACTATGGACTCCTTTGTGGAGTGTGCGTGCCCTGAATTTTGCAGGTAGAGACCAAGGGATGAAGAAATGATCCCACTTCT